GGGAAATACACGTTGAATGACACTCGAGCAAATAAGAGCGAAAAGTCTTGGAATGATTGTTGTTGTTGGTGTTGTTTGTGTTGTTGTTGTTATTTGGTTGCTGTTGTTGTTGATGCTGCTGTTGTTGTCGTTGTTGTTGTGCGTGTTGCTGTTATCGCCGTCGTCGTTGTTTTTCTGTCCAGTGAAGTGCCCCCCTCGGGGATCGCACCCTGTTTGTACAAGGGTCAGTCCGCCAGATACTTCCTCACGATGTACTCCCACATCGCGCTTTCGCGCGGGACTTCCTCACAATGTGCGCGGGAATCGCGCTCTCGCGTGGGATTTCCTCGCAGTCTATTCAGGCGCCGCGCCCTCGACTCTCAGGAATCACGCTCTCGCTTTCCTTTCTCACGATGTGTGTGGAAATCGCGCTATCGTTCGAGACCTCCTCGCGATTCATGCAGGACGCGCGCTTCAGCAACCCGCCTGCTCGACCTGGCCGCCTAGGCCCGCCTTCCAGACCCTCCCAGTAGGGTCTACCCACCGGATCTGCCCGTCTGGCTCTGTCACGTGTTTTCTGCTCCTAGCCTCTCTCCTGCTACTCTCGCTCGTGCTCCATTGTCCTCCCTCCGCCTTGTCCCTTCCTTTCCATCCGTCCTCTCTTCCCCTGTTCCAGGGGCTGCACCAATTATACACGGCATGGAAGGAAGATATGCCCCTAAGGGGGCACGATCGAAGACGAAGAGGGCGTACGATCGAAGACGAAGAGGGCGGGTACCGAGGGTTTGGGATATACGTGTTCACTGGTACGCGAGCAAATACGAGCGAACAATCTTACAATAATTGCTGTAATTGTTACTACTGCCGCCGTCCTCCTTGCCCACGACCCCCCCGCGACCCACCCACGACCCACCCCGCGACCTACCCCGCGACCCACCCCGCGACCCATCCCGCGACCCACCCGCGACCCACCCCGCGCCCGCCCCACCCCCCCACTCCTCTACGCGGGGTGCTATGCGGAACATCTCGGGGACTCACTGACCTGGGTCAGTGCAAACCCGGGTCAGTCAGGCCTTGCAAGATCCTGCAGGATCCTGCACCCAAACCTGGATCAGTGCACCCATAGCCCTGAAGGACCCTGCAAGATCCAGCGCTCTGACTGACCCCCGTTTCATTGACCCCCGTCTCTTGAGCCGCGATTCGGACCCAAACTCGGGTCTCTGCCGGCCGTTCGGGACGATCCGGGCAGCCCGGGAACGCCCTCGGCGAGGCGCAGCTGCTGGAGAGCATCACGAGGCGAGAACATGTCCAGGAAGCAACGAACACATCCAAAACCTCGAACCTCTCTCGAGTTCCGAACATCCGAACATCCCGAGTGCCGAACATCCGAGGGGATCATCGACCGGGGAAGGCGCCGCCTCTGCCCCCCCCGTCTGCCGCCGCGCCGCCGCGCCGCCGCGGGACCCCGCGGGGCGCGCGCGAGGGACTTCTGGGCGCCCTCACCCCGGGGGGGCATCAGAAGGCTGGCTCCCTCGTCGGCGGCGAACTTCGAGGTTCGAGCTTCGACGTCGAGGCATCGCCGATGCACCGCCGATGCATCAGCGACGCACTGACGACGTCGGCGGTGCATCGCCGCAGCCGGCGTGGAGAAGATCGGGCTCCACGGCTACAAGTCGAGCCGCATCGCCGATGCATCGGCGATGCGGCGCGATCCTCCGAGACCCCGTCTGCTCCGACCCCGTCTGGGAGGCCTGAGACGGACGGACCGCGGGCACCGTCGGGTGCGGCAGGCCCGTGTCGTGACGACTTCCACGCCGATTCCTTACACTCGGCAGCAAGCGAGGGGAGGGAGAACTTCGAGGTTCGCACTCTGAGGTCCAATAGGGGGCCACATGCGAACCCCACCCCTGCCCCCCACGATTTCTGAGGGGGAGGGTGGGGTCCACTTCGCTCGGGAGCTCCCAGGCAGGACGAAGTGAACCCCACCCTCCCCCTCAGAAATCGTGGGGGTAGGGCAGGGTTCGCATGCCCCCTGTTCCCGACATTCGGCAGCAAGAGAGGAGGGAGGAGGAGGAGGAGGAGGAGAGGAGGAGGAGGGAGGAGGAGAGGAGGAGGAGGAGAGCGAGGAGGGGAAGAGGGGGTGGGGGGTGGAGGACGGCTGCGAGGGAGGAGGAGGGGGATTGGCGGGGCGTTCGGGGGGGAGGAGTCGGGAGGGGAGTAGCTAAAGGGGCTGGTGGAAGTGTTTTCTGGATGGAGAGCTTCGAGGTTCGCACTCCGAGTCCCAAGTCACGCGGGTCCCAAGTCCGCGGCCTCGGCCGTCGGCCTCGGCCTCCGGAGAGGCCGCCCGCGGGCCCGCGGGGCCCCCGAGGGGCGAGCCCTGGGCGCGCAGAAACCGCGTCGGAGGGCCCCGGGAGGCGTCGGTTGGGGCAAGGTCGTGACCGAGGGTCGGCGCGCGCACCCGGGGGGGCTCCTCCTACCTCCTCCTCCTCCTCCCTCCTCCATCCTCCTCCTCCTCCATCCTCCTCCTCTTCTTCTTCTTCTTCTTCTTCTTATTATTCTTCTTCTTCTTCTTATTATTATTCTTCTTATTCTTCTTCTTATTCTTCTTCTTCTTCTTCTTATTCTTCTTATTCTTCTTATTAGTATTCTTCTTATTATTATTCTTCTTCTTATTATTATTTTTCTTCTTATTATTATTATTCTTCTTATTCTTCTTCATTTTCTTCTTCTTCTTCTTCTTCTTCTTATTATTCTTCTTATTATTCTTCTTATTATTCTTCTTATTCTTATTCTTCTTATTATTATTATTATTATTCTTATTATTATTCTTATTCTTCTTCTTATTATTATTATTCTTATTATTCTTCTTATTATTATTCTTCTTATTATTATTCTTCTTATTATTCTTATTATTATTCTTCTTATTCTTTTTCTTCTTCTTATTATTATTCTTCTTATTATTCTTATTATTCTTCTTATTATTCTTCTTATTATTCTTCTTCTTCTTATTATTCTTCTTATTAGTCTTATTCTTCTTCTTCTTATTATTATTATTCTTCTTCTTCTTATTATTATTAGTATTATTCTTCTTCTTCTTCTTATTCGTCTTATTATTCTTCTTATTATTCTTCTTCGTCATATTATTATTCTTCTTGTTCGTCTTCTTCTTCTTCTTATTCTTCTTCTTATTATTATTATTATTCGTATTATTATTATTCTTCTTCTTATTATTTTTCTTATTCTTCTTTTTATTCTTCTTCTTATTCTTCTTCTTATTATTCTTCTTATTATTCTTATTATTATTATTATTCTTCTTTTTTTTCGTCTTCTTCTTCGTATTATTCTTATTCTTCTTCTTCGTCTGTTTCTTATTATTCTTCTTTTTATTATTCTTCTGATTCTTCGTCTTCTGCTTCTTCTTCTTCGTATTCTTATTCTGCTTCTTCTTCTTATTATTCTTATTATTATTATTATTCTTATTATTATTCTTATTATTATTCTGATTATTATTCTTATTAGTATTCTTCTTATTATTATTATTCTTATTCTTCTGTTTCTTATTATTATTCTTCTTCTTATTATTATTATTATTATTATTATTATTCGTATGTTTCTTATTCTTATTATTCTTCTTCTTCTTAATAAAATCTTATTATTATTCTTATTCTTATTCTTCTGCTTCGTATTATGATTCTTATTCTTATTCTTATTATTATTATTATTATTCTTCTTCTTCTTCTTCGTCTTCTTCTTCTTCTCCTTATTCTCCTTCTTCTCCTTCTTATTATTCTTCTTCTTCTTCTTCTTCTTCTTCTTCTTTTTCTTCTTCTTCTTCTTCTTCTTCTTCTTCTTCTTCTTCTTCTTCTTATTCTTCTTCTTCTTCTTCTTCTTATTCTTCTTCTTAGTATTCTTCTTATTATTCTTCTTCTTATTATTCTTCTTCTTCTGCTTCTTCTTATTATTCTTCTTATTCTTCTTCTTCTTCTTCTTCTTCTTCTTCTTCTTCTTATTCTCTTCTTCTTCTTCTTCCTCCTCCTCCCTCCTCCTCCTCCTCCGTCCTCCTCCTCCTCCTCCTCCTCCCCTCCTACTCCTCCTCCTCCCTCCTCCTCCTACCTCCTTCCTCCTCCTCCTCCTCCTCCTCCTCCTCCTCCTTCCTCCTCCTCCTCCTCCTCCTCCTCCTCCTCCTCCTCCTCCTCCTCCTCCTCCTCCTCCTCCCCTCCTCCTCCTCCTCTCCTCCTCCTCCTCCTCCTCCCTCCTCCTCCTCCTCCTCCTCCTCCTCCTCCTCCTCCTCCCTCCTCCTCCTCCCTCCTCCTCGCTCCTCCTCCTCCTCCTCCTCCTCCTCTCCTCCTCCTCCTCCTCCTCCTCCTCCTCCTCCTCCTCCTCCTCCTCTCCTCCTCCTCCTCCTCCTCCTCCTCCTCCTCTCCTCCTCCTCCTCCTCCGCCTCCTCCTCCCTCCTCCTCCTCCTCCTCCTCCTCCGCCTCTCCTCCTCCTCCTCCTCCTCCTCCTCCCTCCTCCTCATCTTCCCTCCCTCCCTCCCTCCCGGGCTTCTCAGAAGCCCTATGGCTCTCTGAGTGGCTTCCCGCGTCTTCGGTGAAAGCTTCGAAGACTTCTCGGGAGGCGGGGGGGCTTCCGAGCCTTCTGAGAAGGCGCGCCCCTTCTGGCTTCCCCCCAGGCTCGCCGCCGACTTTGCTTTAACGACCCCACACCCTGCCATTGCTCGCCTGAAACCAACCCTAGCCCCCCACCTCGTCTCCAACTGGCCATTCCATCCCGCGCCCTTCTGGCCCCTCTTCTGGGAACCCCCCTCGCTGCAATTTCTCGTTTGGGATCGACCCTGAACCCCCACCTCACCCCCATTTGCCATGGTACCCCTAAAGCTTTCGTCATTTGCTCCGCCCTACAAGTTCTCCCCCTTCGCCCTCACCTCACAGCTCGCATCCACCTAGCCACAGCATTCACAACCACTGTGGACCTCTATACTTGGGACCCCCGACCTTACCATTTCTCGCCCGAAGCGTGTCCTCGATGCTGGCCAGAGCGCTTCGGCCAGGACAGCTCAGCATGGGGATTGCTGACGATGGAGGGAAGCGGGGGAGGAGGGTGGAGGAGAAGGAGAGGATGAGAAGGAGTGCAGGAGGAGGGGGGATATAGGCTAGAGAGACAGCAACAGCAGCAGCTTTAGGAGGGAAGAAAGAAAAGAGGAAGGAGGATCTGAGGAGAGCGAAGGGTGGGAGGGGGGAGGAGGGAGGGATGGAGGGAGAGAGGGAGGGAGAGAGGGAGGGAGGGAGAGCTGGGAGGGAGGGGAGGGAGGGAGGAAGGGGAGGGAAGGAGATTGGTGTTGGACGGAGGGGAAGGATGATGAGCAGAAGCAAGGATGGCGATGGACGATGAAGGAAAACAGAAGGAGGGACGGACGAGGAAGGATGGAGAAGGTAAAAAGAGGAGGGAGAGGAAGTAGGAGGGTGAGAAGAGGGGGGAGGCTATTGCTTCGATGCGGTCATAGATGCACGCGTTTCACTATAGGTTCCTGAGGGCGAAACTCGGAGGCAGAGCCTACAAGCGCAACGAGAAAAAGGGCCCGGCACAGGGACGCGTTACGGGCCTCGCTACCCCCGGCACGCCCAATAACTCACGCGAGGGCACGAGCCGCTAAGACGAGTGGCAGTATACATAATTTCTACTGCCCGTGCACCAGTGCAGAAGCGGCAGCTGTAGACCCGCTGGGTGCAGACGGGCAGGGAAGATAGTGACACGAGGAATGGTAACGGTAGCGAGCCCGAAAGGGCTGACGCAACTCTGTAGTCCATCCTACCCTTTGCAGGCTTGCTCCGGGACCCGGCATGCAAACGGACTGAGAACTTGCGAGAACTTGCTGAGCAAAAGACAGGGCGAGTTCCAGGAAAGTATGGCGTAATCTCGCGCCCTAGAGACTGCCCGCAGGCGTGCAGTATGCAGCTCTGCCTGGGTACCGCTGCGAAGAAAAAGCACGCTGCGGGAGGCGGAGCAGGCTCTGCTTCGGGCGCACCGAGTGTTCCAACCAGCCAAGCGCGCACCTGTGGCAGCACTGCCGCGGCCCTGCCAGCCTCGATGGCAACGGAAAAGAGTACGTTTAAGTCGGGCCTGTCCCCCTACAGGGGGATTTTCAACGAAAAATAAAAAAATACCCCAGAAATAGTCCAAAAATGCTCAAAAAATAGTCTGGGGACTATCTTTTATGTTTTGACCTTTCTGGTGCATTATTAGGGTACTTTTTATTTTTCGTCGAAAATCCCCCTGTATAGGGGACACGCCCGACATAAGAGTACGTCGGGAGAGAGACGCGCGTCTGCTGCGCGACTGCACTCTGCCCCGCGTCAGCATCCCCGGCCTGACGAGAGGCAGGGAGGGCCAGGCTCGGAGGCCGACGCACCGAGCGGCAGGCGGCAGCGAGAAGACCTCCACGGAGGTGGGCCGCTCCGCGGAGCCTTGCGTCTGGGGACGAGCTTTCAGTCGGGCCTGTCCCCCTACAGGGGGATTTTCGACGAAAAATAAAAAATACCCAAAAAAAAAAAAAAAAAAAATACTCCAAAAAGAATCTGGGGACTATTTTTTTAGTATGGTTTGACCTTTTCGGGGTATTGTTGGGGTATCTTTTATTTTTCGTCGAAAAACCCCCTGTATGGGGGACACGCCCGACATAAGACGAGCTCCGCAGAACAGGTCCTCTGCACAGTCCGCGGGGAAGAGGCGAGCGCCCCAGTGGCGGCAGAGCCACCGGGGGGGGCGAGAATGTGCGCAGAGGCTCGTCGCTTGTGGCGGGCTGGCGCGAGAGATGCTGGAGCGTGGCCACTGCAGGCGTCTGACCGCGCGCACCGAGGCGTCGAGTGGGATCCGCGCAGGACGCCTCGGCCACCTGGGAGCGGCCCCTGGCGGAGGCCGACGGTGGAGTGCCTGGCGCACCGGGCCCCCGCTCGTGGGGTGGCTCAAGGGCTCCAGGGAACGGATACCAGTCCCAGGCCCAAAGCGTCCGACACGAAGCCGAAACGAAAACGGCCCACGAAAGGGCCCACTTGGGTCGCTCTTCAGCTGCGGATATGTCTAGCGTGCCTGAACTCCCTCCATCCTGCGAGCCGCAGCCCCTGACCCAGACCGAAAGGGAACGAACAAAAACCGCAGCTGGCCGCGCCTGGCCTTGGCCATTGACAGGCACGTCCGCGTGGCGCATCCACTACGCGGGGCGCCCCCTCCCGCACTGGGGAACTCCAGCAGGGCGGAGTAGCCTGCAGGCCACCGCCTGGTGAAGGTGCGCGGCTGCTGGTCATGTTGCCCACCCGTGCAGTTCGGAGCCTCTGGCGGAAGTTGTCGTGGGCACCTATCTGGCACCTGCGCGGTAGCCCGACGCGACTGCCTTGCGCGCGCGCGACTACGCCAGGAAAGCTGGGGCACATACAGCCAAAAACCATAATAAGGACGCGCTGTAAGGACGCAAGACCCTTGGAAGCCGAAGTTGGGATCTTTGGGGCGGCGGGCGACGAAAACCCCAAGGACGCAGGAGCAAGGAAGAGCAAGGACGCAAGGGTACCCTGAGCAAAGGCGCGCGTCCTTATTAGGGTTTTTGACTGTACCTTGCGCGCGCGTGACTACCCCAGGAAAGCTGGGGCACATGTGGCCGCGAGGAGGCGAAAAGTCAAAAAGAAACTGAGGAGGACGCGCAAGAGGCAGGGACCGCGAGCGAAATCGCGCGACTAAGCATGGATGGCGCGGGAGGATATCAGCTGGGAGTGAGAAGGCTATCGCCGCAGCGAGCACGTCAACAACGGCCTGCGTATGGCACGGCAACGCGCAAGATCACACCTCCTGCTCTAGACCCCTTTGGTTTGCTGAGCACTGCATCGCCCCATCGAAGTGCAAGCGGACTGGCAGGCTGTCTACGTTGCTTAATGCACGGCAGGCTCACTAAATCTAAACTCGCAGGCACGCCTGTAAATGAACTTTGCATTGTAGGAAGCACGAGCTTTTTTCCAGAGCGCCCCTCCCGCCACGCCAAGCCATACGCCGAAGCGCGCAGGCGAAAACAAAAAAAAGACGCCAAGGCACAGGCATCCCATGCAACGTAAGTTGATAATTCTACAGAATGCTATTGGCAATGGCGTTCATGTGGTTCGCAATGCGTTCGCACACTCGCTTCGGCGCACGGTTTAGCGCAGCGTACCGTCCCACCCTGCACTACGGGAAGAAAAAACCCCATAAACATAAACCTTTGCACTTCGCACGGGTTTCTTGGAACTGCCACGGGCGGCGGGCACGATGGTCCGAACACAAGTGACACACACCATTATGGTTGAATGGATAAGCGGGTGATTTCGATATGGAGTAAGTTTTCCTGGGCTCGAGGCTCAAACCGGCTGCGGTGCGAACAAGGGACTCTCACAAGGGATTCTCACAGCCCCCCTCAGATCTGACTCTCATCAGATACCTTTGGAGGCAGAGCTGGTATCAAAAACAATACGTTGAATCATGTACCTCACCGTGCCGTTATATGATGCCACAGATTACGGTCGGGATTATTGTTTGATCCTCGATGCTACAGCTTTCAACACACGCGCGGTTGAGGAAATTTTCTGAAGGTAACCGACGTCGATCAAGATGTCGTTCACCACTGTGTCCTCGCTCATGAGATCGCTGGGAGACCTCTGCCTCGACTCAATGTTCTTGCTTGGAGATCGGCGCCTGGAGCGCGACCGGGCGCGGTCACGGACATCGCCGGTTGCTGAGTCTGGCCTGCTTTTGCTGTCTGCCACACGGCTGCTCGCCGGAGGTGGCGTCGGAGGCCTTTGGGGCGTTGGTGAACGCTCTCGCCAAGCCTCTGTCTGATTGTACTCAAGATACTCTGGTCCACTACCACAGTAACGCACCGGGCAAGAATTATCAATCTTTGTTGATTTCTCTGCACCGTAACCGTGTAGACCGTGCGCGGTGCTCAGGTGCTGCACCATGCGGTAGGAAGGAGTACCTTCGATTTTTCCCTTGCTGGTTGCGCTGTCAGCCTGTACTTTCGCATAGTACTCCGTGCAATCAGGGCATTTCTTAAAGCACCATTTCACACTTGGTGACAACATACTGTCTCAGAAACACACAAAAGGTGAATGCTTGAGCCAGCACGTCTACGGAGGAGCATTACGCATAGATGCCCAAACGTCGCTTTAGCGTGGAAAGCCTCGCTCTGTCAAGGTACTTTGTTCCCATGTCTGAAATGTTATCTGCTGTTGTTACCTTTGAGATATTTATGCGATTGGCTTGCACGAGCTGCTGCACATGTAAAAACTTAATATCGACACGCTTCAACCTTCCTACGCCGAGTCTCGATGCTATGGCCCTGCCTGCGCTGCTGTCTGATTTCTAATTGGCCGAAGTTTCATACCCGAGCTCTCTGATCAACGATTGCGCATGCAATGCCTCTGCGGCGCCGGAGGCTATAGCATATAGCACGGCTTCGCCGCTGGACTGGGCCATCACGCTCTGTGCGCGGCTGTAATTACATAGAACGCACGAGCCCCACATGACAACTCCAGCAGATGTGCTTTTCCTCGTTCGCTGGCACCCAGCCCAATCCGAGTCTACATAAACTGTCACACAATCGGAGAGCGAATCGCACCTAAGATGCAAATGTTCGTTTCTGGCGCCTTTCAAACACCGCAACAAATGCTTCAGCTTGCGGACATCTCTCTTCGTAAGCGACGCAAGTTGCCTCGCCAATTCTTTCACTGAAAATTGGATGTCTCCTCGTTCCTGACAAATGAACTGCAGCGTGCCCACTGCACACCTGTATTTATGATGTTCGACCTTATCCAAAATCACAAATTCCTCTCCGACAGATCCCTTGACATGAGGGGTGTCTTTCACACCGGGTGTGCTCACAGGGGTACAGTGCAACAAGTTATAGATGTTCAATGCGTCATCGATGTATTTTTTCTGTCAGGAAAAAATTGATGCCACCGCCACGTGTCACGTACATCCTTCCGAGGTACTTCGTGGGAACCTCATCGTTAAAACGATCACCACGCTCGAACAACACATGTTTTTCGAGCTGTCCGAAAAACTCGTCTATCTTAAATTTGTCTCCTACTGCAATGGG